CTGGGCGCCGCGCGGGCCACCGCTGGCCGCCGCGCCTTGGGGACGGCGGGAGGCGCAGCCCCGAGGCCGGAGACTTCGGATCGGGCCCAGGTAGGAAGGGGAGCGCGGCGTGGGGAGGGGTCTCGCGTCGTCCCGGGCGCTCTTCCCGGTTTCCCCTCCCCTTCCCGGGCCGTTCCCGGCAGGGAGGGGACGGGGTAAGGGGTTAGAGCGGGTGGAAGCCGGAGCGAGATCCCAGATTCCCGGAACAGTCGGGCTGGGGCCCTCGGGCCGCTCCCGTCCCCTCCCTACCCCCTGCCTCGGGTTTCTCCCTCTGTCCCCCCCGCCCGGGGCCACCGGACCGAGCGGCGCCCCGGCGCCCCGGCGGCCCTTCTCCGGCTCCCACCCGAGCGCGCTCCTGGAGACCCAACTTCTGCGCGCGAGTGTCCCACTCTGCGCCCTTCCAGGGCGCGCTGGGAACGGGGCGGCCTGGGGCCACCCCGCCGGCGGGGGCGGGGGGCGGGCTCCGTGGGGCGCCTGGGTCGGAGCGGGGGCCTCGGGGACAGCGGGGGCCCGGGTAGCTCGGCGGATCCCGGGAGGCCGGGGCTGGCCGGGTGCGCCCGAGGGTGCCGGGCACTCACGCGGCGCGCGCCTTCCTCCCTGCAGCCCCCCGGGATGCAGTAGCGGCCGCTGTGCGGAGGCCGCGAAGCAGCTGCAGCCGCCGGCGCGCCAGACCCACGCTGGCTCCGTGCGCCATGGTCACCCACAGCAAGTTTCCCGCCGCCGGGATGAGCCGCCCCCTGGACACCAGCCTGCGCCTCAAGACCTTCAGCTCCAAGAGCGAGTACCAGATGGTGGTGAACGCGGTGCGCAAGCTGCAGGAGAGCGGCTTCTACTGGAGCGCGGTGACCGGCGGCGAGGCCAACCTGCTGCTCAGCGCCGAGCCCGCCGGCACCTTCCTCATCCGCGACAGCTCCGACCAGCGCCACTTCTTCACGCTCAGCGTCAAGACGCAGTCGGGGACCAAGAACCTGCGCATCCAGTGCGAGGAAGGCAGCTTCTCTCTGCAGAGCGACCCCCGGAGCACGCAGCCCGTGCCCCGCTTCGACTGCGTGCTCAAGCTGGTGCACCACTACATGCCGCCCCCCGGGGCCCCCTCCCTCCCCTCGCCGCCGACAGAACCCTCCTCCGACGTGCCCGAGCAGCCGCCCGCCCAGCCGCCCCCGGGGAGCCCCCCCAGGAGAGCTTACTACATCTACTCGGGGGGCGAAAAGATCCCCCTGGTGTTGAGCCGGCCTCTCTCCTCCAACGTGGCCACCCTCCAGCACCTCTGTCGGAAGACCGTCAACGGCCACCTGGACTCCTATGAGAAGGTCACCCAGCTGCCCGGGCCCATCCGGGAGTTCCTGGACCAGTACGACGCCCCGCTCTAGAGCTCAAAGGGCAGGGGTCGAGAGAGGGGCCCGGGTCCCTCCGAGACACATGGCAAGCACAAGGAGCGCGAACCGAGGGGGGCGGACTGGCCCCTCCCTCCGGCCCTCCCCCCTGCAGAACGGGGCGGGCGGACCTGGAATGTGTTGAAGCGAAGGGGAGTGCCGCCTGAGCTCCCCTCCCCCACTCCAGCCCCCGGAGGAGCCCGCGGGCCTGGTGGGACCTTGGCGACACAAGTGGATCCTCCCCTCTTCCGTTCCTCCCTCTGCTTCCGAACGGGAGGCACCTCGGGAGTGCTGAACTCATGGGAACTGCCAGGGAATCTTCAAACTTTCCAGCGGAACTTGTTTGTTCTTTGATTTGGTTTAAACCTGAGCAGGTGGCCGGCCTGGGAAAGAAGGGAAGAGAGAGGGCTCCCGATGGGCGGCCCTGAGGGGCCCCAGGGCTGCCGGCTGGCCCAGGAAATGGCCACGCCCCCACCCACCCGGGCCAAGAGGCTGGCGGCTGGCTCCTCTCCCTGGCTCTAGGGAGGAGGGCGTGGGGTGATCTGAAGAACTCCATCCCGGTGCCTCTCACCCTCTCCCTTGGGACAGCCACTGAAAACACAGCTTCCAAAGTCTACCTGGGGCCTGAGAGCCCAGGACCCTTCCCCCGTTTTAAGGGGAAAGTGGCATTTGGAGGGGGATGGATGGGCTGGCGGTTTGGTCTGCGTATCCCACCCGGCTCCTGGGAGGCAGGGAGAGGATGGAGATGAGCCATCTTTGACCGTAGACGCCCGTAGAGAAGACAGGGGATTCTACCTTGGGCCTCCTGACTGTGTCTGGCTAGGAGATTCGCCTTAAGCGCTCCCTGTCCTATGGAGAGGGACCGGCATAGGAAAAGCCACATACACCTGGCCAATCCAGGAGGAGAGGCCGAGGGGCTCACCCGAGGGCACACAGCCAGCCACTCGGCCAGGGGAGTGGGTGGGGGGCGGAGACCCATGCCTTTCAGCTGAGCACTGGGAGAGTGTTCGCCCACTTAGTATTGGCCAGTCACAGGCACCTCGTGGTCCGAGCAGAGCCACCAGGCCCCACAGCCCCCAGGTCCTGCACATCCCTCCCTCCTACCTGGTCGGGGGAGGCAGGAAGCCATCGAGGGGCTGAGTGCCTGCCACTCCAGCTGCTCCCGCTCTGCCATAGCACTGATCAGTGAAAACTCACAGGAATGTAGCAGCGATGGAATTACCTGGAACTGTTTTTTTTCGGGGAGAGGGAGCTAAACAAACACGAAGTTTTCTGTGTCAGGTATTGGGCTGGACGGGGCAGTTGTGTGTTGGGGTGTTTTTTTTTTTCCCTCTATTTTTTGTTTCATGTTTTTTTTTTTTTTTTAACAATGTTTACAATCTGCCTCAATCACTCTGTCTTTTATAAAGATTCCACCTCCAGTCCTCTCCCCTCTCCCCCACTCAGGCCTTCGAGGCTGTTAGGAGATGCTTGAAGAACTCAACAAAATCCCAATCCAAGTCAAACTTTGCACATATTTATATTTATATTCAGAAAGAAACATTTCAGTAATTTATAATAAAGAGCACTATTTTTTAATGAAAAACATGACTCGAGCCTTTTCTCCTCTCTTGCTTTCTCTTTCACCCACACTCACAGGAGGAGAGGAGGAAGGCAGCCGAGGAGGGTGGCGGGTCTGCCCCCTCATCAGCCTGGCCCTCCTCTGGGTGGAATCAAACTCGCCTTACGTCAGCCCGCCTGCCCCTGTGTGTCATTGACAAGCTAAGGCAGCCACCTAGACTGTTACCAAGAGGGGTAATTCCTGCTAGTCTGATTCAGATCTGACCAGAATATGCAAAGCAAGTTCGAAGGAAGCGCTTCAAAGGGCTTGCAGGGAGCTCACTGAGCTGTGGTCAAAGCTTTTAGAGGCTCCAGGCTATTAGAGAGGCTCTGGGGCTCCTTGGCTGGGAGATGTTCCGAGAAAGCCCAGACATCGGGGGTCCTAGCTGTGACCCATGACCTCAGCACAGCCAGGTTCACGAGAGGTGGAAGGAGAGGTGATCCTGACACAAACCCTGTAGCCAGTGGGACCCTCTCCAGGGGGTTGGCAGGCAGTCCTGGTCACTGCTACCCACACCTCCAAGTTCCCATCCACATTCCTAGGGGGAGCTCCAATCTGAGCAGCGGACAGGGGCATGCTCTTTCCAAAAAAGTACGCATCTATTCATCTAGACTTTTTTTTAGTTGAAGTGGCACTCTGTCGCTCAGGCTGGAGTGCAGTGGCACACTCACAGTCACCCCAGCATCGACCTGCTGGGCTCCTGAGATCCTTCCACCTGTCTGCCAAGTAGCTGGAACTATAGGCACACGCTACCACGCCCAGTTAAGTTTTGATTTATTGTAGAGATGAGGTCTCACCAAGTTGCCTGAATGGTCTTTTTTTTTTTTTAGTTGGAGTCTCACTCTGTCACTCAGACTGGAGTGCACTGGCCGCTCCCGGCCACTGCAGCCTCGACCTGCTGGGCTCTGGCGATCCTTCCGCCTCAGCCTTCC